ATCCAACTAATCATGTCCTTCAGGCTTATTTGAAAACTACATGGTCTGTGTTGGAGCAGGGTTGGAACTAAAATCTGGGCTCCGGCCCTCCAGGAACTGAGTTTGACACCCCTGCCTTAGACAATAGCTTCTTATAAAGCCACTGGGCCCCCACTAGAACGCACCTCAATGATTGAGCCGCCAGGTGTGATCAATGTCAAGACGCCACTAGACACCAGTGGGCGTGTCTTCCCATTTGAAAAAAAGGGGTAAAGTGACAAAAATAATCACCCAGATAAGTAAAATAAAATTATACACGAGTTGTAAATGATAACAGAATTTTCATTTTTGGGTGAACTAGGACTGAAGAAATTCACACAAAATTCATATACCTGATGGCTAATTGAAATGTGCTTTCCCCTTGAATTGTTGTGATGTCATGGGTCAACGTAACTTTGTTTTTTTCTCATCCTCTTCCCTTTAGCCGTGTAACCGCATGGGAGAGGTAGGTTTCTTTTGACATTCTTGTAATCTGATTTTCATTTAAACTGAATTGTTGTAACCAACCAATCAACTAGTCTAACAACCTCTCAGAATCAAACAGTCAAATGCCATATTGAATGTTGAAAAAGACATCATATTTTATAGGCCGCCACAAGTGACATGGAGAAAATGAACTCATCTGAAATGCAGTAAAATGAAATGATTTTGTTTTTCACTCCAGATGACGACTGGCAGCAGAAGTATCGTTTCGTCATCTAGCCGACAAGTCTCACACATCCCTATCATTCACTCCCTCTTGTGTCTTTTCCAAACCCAGATTTTAATTCAGTCTTTTGTTCACATTTAAACACTGATCAACACACATAAATAGAGCCAGGGCTGTACATGAACTTTTTTTTGCACATAGCACTGGTGCTACAGAGGATTAAAGTTTTGTAGCACAAGCCACACTAATGTAGTGCAAGTATAAAATGTCTCTAAAAACAACCACAAGCTGTGCAGTTCATCACTTAAACAGGCATGTATGTGCCTGACAAAGGAGAATGATGACATAGAGAGCACACAAAATCCAACCCTTCACAAGAATGTTTTCAGACAAACATTTTCTTTATTTGCTAAAACTGGCAGACTACAGGAACATAAGACTTCTTACACTTCAACATCACGACAACATTACACTTCAAATTAGCAGGACAGATCTAACAATACATCACTTAATAAAGCCCGATTCGATATGGACGTCTGTAAAAATAAATGTACATATCACCTAAAGCCCTATTCGCACGGGATTAGTATTATCTGGGGACCTTG